AAGACAAAGTTGATCTCAGTCGGACAATTGGATGAACAGGGACTAGACGTCAAGTTTGGTGGTGGAAAATGGAAGGTGATCAAAGGAAATTTGGTTATTGCTCGAGGCTTGAAAAGAGGATCGTTATACATGGTACCGGTGACGTCTGAGGGAGTGACCAACCCGGTAAAGACAGTTAACAAAGTCGGGCTCACTGAATCGGGCAAAGCTAAGAAGGTTCATTTTGCAAACGTGAATCTTGGAGTTTTGGGGATGACAGTTGAGTGTGTTCGGAGGTCTGAATCAGGTCAGGGGTTTCGTGACAGTGGGAGCATGGGACGTGTTCCGAGTACAGTTCTGAAACGTTGTTGGGTTTTGAGGACCAAGAATCCGGACGTTAAAATCTCTCCTGGGAATAGTTTGCTGGATTTGGAGAGTGGTAATGGTCCTCAATGTATCTCTGGATCCGGTGGATTGTGCAAGCCGGTTGAGACAGACTGGGTTGGAGCTCGGTGGAGCTTCAACTGTCCTTTTAGGTTATCAATGAAGGGGGTGGTTGCAACTAGGGTATATAACTGGAGTCTTAGCTTGTTCTTGGGAACTAGAGGCTTGGAGGACTTGAGTTACTCATGATGGGTTTACTTGGATGGCATTTGTGTCTATGCGAAATCCTTCAAGTGGGAGATTGTTGGGTTATTTGGTGAAGGCTTTAGAGCTTTGGGCTTTAAGCCCGGTCGGTTAAAGGGAAGAAATACGGGGGGCCGGTTTTAGTTATTAATTAAAGGGCCCATTAGTTGTTTCTTGTTTAGCAAGTTGTTAACCCGAATTTATATCTTATAAATACCCAATCATGTAACTATAATCTGTGAGCACCTAGTAAAAGATAAACCCTAGTTGCAACCCGTGGAGTAGGTTACTGACCGAACCACGTTAAATCTCGTGTTCTTATTTTCTGCTATTTGTGTGTGTGTGTGTGTGTTTGTTTGTTCGCTTCCGCTTGATCGCCTCTGATCTCTGATTCCTAACAGGTATCACTTCTTGTGAAGTTACATGGGGCCAAAAAGAGGAATTAGATTAACCCACCATTTCTGTGCTTGACCTTTCCAGTCAGAACCCCATTGCTGCTTTAGTTTTTCCCTGACGTGTGGTGGGAAATCATATGTCAACCAGTGAGGAACCTGCAAGTAACACATGTGTGTCAAGAACAGTTTTGTAATTCCCATGGCGATATATCAAGATTCAAGACGAAGCCATTCAAGTTATGATGACGCTGCGTACAATCTCTGTCCATTACTAATGGAACGACTAAAAGGGTAATTGTTGACAATGTTTTAGTTTCACCCAAATAATAGGCTAAATCAAAATGGCGCACATTAAGCTCCCTTTGCATCACACTTTCTATGATGTTTTGGAAGTAAATGCAGCAATGCATCAAGGGTCTGACGGAAACAGCCTCACTGTATCTTGACTCACAAACACCAACCGTGTTGAGATTTTATTGGGTTCGTTGTTGATATGTACAATCTCCAATGACTCAATTGCCACAATAAGTTTACTCCCTCCGTCCCTAAAGAAGTTCTAAAAAGAGTCGTGCCTGATCAAGGTAAAACTGGCAAGGTACAACTCTTAAAAATCATGGAATCCTACTCATATTTTGTAGTTTGTTTCGTTTGACTAAATTTATCACAAAGCATCCTTTGCAAGAGTTTGGAGAAAGGTCAACCCTTGCATTTTTCTGGCAGAGGCCACTTATTTGACACGAACCCATAACCATAAAGTCACAATGCAACACCTTAAACGGTGCATCAAGGCTCTCCTTCAATATTGCTCTTAAAAGTATATATTAAATGAAACATAACACCAATATGAATAATAAAACACTAAGACTAATATCATGAAGATATGTAAACTGATTTGATTCGGAAAGACTGCCAACGAACCTGTGCCAGAGGGAGTATTATACGGAGTATAAGTTGAAGTGAAAAATTTAAAGGACTGATTAAGTTTAGTAAGGTCCATTTTCTTGTAAAGAAATAAAGATAATGACTAAAATACAAACAACTAACAAAGTTAGAATCTACTTTTAACCTCAGCAATGATTTCTGCAGAGGTGACTCCTGTTTCTTCTCTTAATTCTCGGATGGCAGCATCTCTTGGATTTTCATTCTCATCAACGCCACCCTGTTTCAGAAATATGTACTTGTCAATACTACAACAACAAACCCAGTGAAATCCCACATAGTGGGGTCATGGGAGAGTGGGTAAAGCTTGTTTCCAAGAGACCCTCAGCTCAAAACAAAAGGAACACTAAAAACATGTAAAAGGAAAAGAAATGAAAAAAGATAGTTGCACGAAAGAAACAAGCACACATGCAAAAACAACAAACTAAGGCACATAAGCCTACCCTACAACCCTAATAATCTCAACTTGCTCTTATCTATGGATTGGTCATATCCTAAGTATGACCTTGAGGTTGTAAGTCATGTCTAATCCCCTCCTTCCAACTCTTCTTAGGTCTATATCTACCCCTCTTTATGTCCCATACCTCAAGCCTCTTGCACATCCTCACTAGGTTATTTATGCTTCTCCTTGTGCAATACGTATTTGTCAGACATAGCAAGAAATAGATATCAGAAAATCAATAATCAGAAGTAACGTTTTCCATGGAAAACTGCAACAACACTCCCGCACTATTGGCTAAGGCAAAGGCAAAACCCTACCCCCATACTGGTAGTTTTAAGTTAGTTACTATCCTGTTAGAGGACTCACTTCCCAACTTTAGTAGGATGTTCATTACGCTGTGTAACACTAAAGTAATTACTGTTTTGTGGGACATAAAGGCAGTGACCTTAGTCAAGAGCAGAAGAGTGGCTACTGCAAGCTTTTTACCAAAAAAGTGTAGGATATTAGGCATGGAGGCACGCCTCAAGGCTTTAGTGTCCTCGTAATTGAATGACATGGACGAATCGCGAATGGGCACAAGTGACCTATTCAAATTCTAACTTATTTGTATATTTTGAGGCTTATTCCTCAAAGTGCCTCAAGGCTTACACTTCACATTATAGAAAGAAACCATCTCAATACCCAAACTAGCCTTTTTAAACCCTGGAAGGAGTACAATCTTACAACTTAAACCTTGATTTTAACTACCTTGCTCATAGCATCCATCTCTAGTGTGAGATCCATGTTTGCCATTATGCAATGTTGAGTCCTATAGCTCCACACTCACAAATTTTAATTTCATTCTGAATTATTGCAGTTAGAACAAATGTCAGTGACATCATATGATATTGCAGACTAGCAGTAGTTAGTAGAGCCTGAAAATTAGTTTCAAAGTCACTCCAAAATCGACATATCTAACCGTGATCTCCTTTATGTAGCATAAAATAAATTAGAAATAAGAACTGCATTCCATAAAACAGCTTACAAGATCAAATGGAGAACTTTTCTTAGAATTACAAGTTCCAAAAGCTGGATTTCATCAGATGGGCATTAAGCATTATGCTAAAAAATTGTACTTTATGGATATTGATTTTCCTTCCATCCTAAAATTTAGTTCTTTTCACTTTGATTTTTGAGATTGTCCTAAAATTTTCTTCTCATTTCATTTCAAGGAAAGATGTGTTGTAGGCAATTCTATGATTTCTAAATAAACAGAAACCACAAAAAAAACCATTTTCTTAATAAGAGTGCCAAGTAAAAGTGTGAAATTTTTTTTAGGACGGATAGAGTATTTCATATATAGAATGCACTAAACAGAAAAGTAAGAAGATCAAAACTGGATGTATTCGAAAAAAATGCACGAATATCGACAAATTGAGCACAAAAAATTAGAAGATTTCAGGAATTTACCTGAGGCATTTGCCAGGCATTTGGCATATCAAGCCTCGAAGCTGCAAAAATCTGCAAAACCAACAGACAAACTCAATCTCTCAACTCAATGAACAATATAAGATCCAAACCTAAAAGAAAAACAAGCAGGAATGCAAGAATCAGAACACTAATCAATAAATCGCATAAAAAAATCACCTTTTTGGCAGTAGGGTTCATGAGACAAATGCCAACGTTTCTACGGTAACCCTCGGGCGGATTGTCCATGGAAGACGACGACGATAGCGTAGAGAATGAATCTGGCGAGCGCCTATGGCGGAGTGGCAACGCTGTAAATAAGGAGAAATTCGGAAGTGGGTGAAAAGTGGCGATTTTGTGCGGCAGATGGCGGCGAGGGACTGTCGAGCTTATGAAAATGGATCGGCAGATAGCCATCGATAAAATTCTTGATATTGTTAATCAAATAATCCAACCTATATTCCAAAATTAATTTTAGTTTTTACTTTTTCACTATCACTTTAAAAAAAGTAATGGGTACTTAACGATTTTTTTTTAAAAAAGCAAAATTATATTGCCCAAACAAATAAAATGAAACATTATTTGAGGTATTTTTTCCTTTTCTCCATTTTTTAGATTTTAATATTAGAAATTTTGTTATTAAAAATATAACAGTTGCACACTTGTCAGATTCTCACTCTTTTGTGGAGCCTTTTTGGGAAAATATAATAGTGAATTATCGAAAACTAATTTGGAGTGCCTTTCAGAAATTTCTAATATGAAAATATTCTAGCGAATTTCAAAAAAACTAGTGTTGTTGACTGTTGATTGATACAAAATCTCAACTTGATCCAAAACCTCGTTGTCGTCGTCGGATCTTAGAAATATTTGTAATATAACATCTCGATCAAATCCAAAATACAACCAGGCCCCCACTTTGAACGGATCTTGCATCATTATTGTTTAAGTTTAAAAATAGATACTCATAAATATAATCATTCCAACCTAATTCTTACATGTTTTCTCACCACACATCGAGCCTCATTGTGAACCGACACATTATCATGCGATAGTTGAGAAAGTATGAACTCATTCGTGGTCAAAAGGATGGGTACATGGTTGTTGTTAGCACTTAGCAATGGCTTGTGTTGTTCAATTAGCTCCTAAACTGATACGAACACGTAGCAGATAGGAAAAAATTAGAGCGTCTTCAAGTTCTTAAGAACATGGGGCGAGGAAGAAGAAGAAGATTTGAGAAGAGAAGGGAATCGGCGAGCCGAGAGATGAGAAAGGATTAGGGTTTGTGATTTGTTTATTGATTGATCATTCTAAATGAGATTACATTTCTATCTATAGTAGAAGAAGAAACCCTAGCTCTAATAGAAAACCTAACCTTACGGTTCAATAAAAGCAACGAGGGAAAGAACCGTAAAGAAACCTTGAAATAGCTTATAATTTTGTTCACCTAATAAAACCTAGATTACAATTAATAATAATAATAATAATAAATAACTAATAAATATATAATCAAATATCATACTATAACCCCCTTAAAACCCACTTTGTCCTCAAGGTGGAGGGTCTCAATCATGCATCTAGACTGGAGAGAAAATGTTGACCCAAAGATTATGACCACTTGATGACAGATATTCATTAAGCTTGCAGATTGGATTATAGCGATGGATATAATAAGAGAGAAGAGCTAATACAAGCATAGCTACATGCGGTGAAACCCAATACTCGGAATCTACAATATTCGCATTGCTAGACAAGTGGATGATATCAAATGAAAGTGAGATGTCCGCTTGCGTATAATTTGTATCTGCTATTTGGGTTGTTTTGGACGGAGGCATATGACTATATGCGATGATGACATTGCTCAATGTTTGATTCTTTGCAACGTATCCATTACCCGATGCAGCTACATGTGTATCAACAGCGACAAGATTAAATGGAAAGGCATTAGCAACATCATTAATGGCAAAAACATCATCAACTTCGAGAACACTCATTGAATCAACAACAGTGCGCTCAACAGATTCCATGCTAGAAGATGAGGGGTTGTGTAGAATGGTTGTAGGGGCCAGATCTGGTGGAACAATTGAAGTGCCGAGAAGATTCCTTATATCGTCCATCATTTTTGTTTTGAAACTTTCCAACTCCAAAGGAATCTAACTCAATATGACTAGGGGACCACGCACCAAATTTTGTAAAGTGCACGATATTTTTACGTCAATCACATATAAATCAGAACCAGAATATTGTAGATCTAAAAGATGCCGAAACAAGTGGAGTGTGTTCATAATTTCATATACGTGATGATAAGCTATACCGACTCCTTTGTGAAACTCAACTTTTCCACAAAAGATATGCTTAAATTTATACCCCGTAACAAACACTTTCAAAAACTAATTTCTTACTACCCGAGATTAACAATCACAATTGTGCTACTTAACCAACAGCCACTTTTGATAATTTAATCCACCATCTGTTTAAATATTTAAAATCATACTAATGGCAAAATGGATGCACTATATTTGTAACTTGACAGATTATGAAGGCTTCCTGGTGATGAGAACCAAGTGGCTTCTCCCAAAACTTTTGCTGCCACAAAGTATAAAGGTTTGGTAGCAAATTGAAGTATTCACTCAGCGCTCTTTCTTTTTTATCAAGAACAATGGAGGCAGCAGCCAAAATTAGAGCAAAATAAACTTCTCTTTTGTTATTATCGATCTGCTTGTTTTTCAAATCAAAGCACACAAAATAAGAATGATCGGAGTGAACCTGGTGCAACAGGGAGTGCCTTGAGCAATTCCTCGGCGGAAACAACAATTCGGCAACGACGAATCTCGTGATTGCAAGGTTCGGCAGCGACGACAAGGTCTGCAGCGAATCAATTTTCTTGTTGGGTTATTGGTTTGTTAGTATTCAAATCAATAAAAGCACCTACGACGAGACGAGTAAGAAGAAGAAGATCTGAGAAGAGAAGGGGATCGAAAAACCCAGAGAGGAGAAATGATTGTGGTTTGTGATTTATTTATTGATTGATTATTCTAAATGAGATTATATCTCTATTTATAGTAGAGGAAGAAACTCCGACTCTAATAGAAAACATAACCTGACGGTTAAATAAAAGCGACGAGGGAAAGAACCGTACAAAAACTTCGAAAGAGCCTATAATTTTGCTCACCTAATAAAACTTAGATTACAATAATAATAATAATAATAAATAACTAATAAATATATAATATCCTACTATATAATCCATAACATAGACATTGCTAGTTGTCGTTTGGATTGAGAATCCTAGTATCATTAACAAAAAATTTCATTTAAAATGACAAAAAGTCAACTAAAATCTTGCACATCAAACTTTTGCAATTTAGAGGCAAGGTTGAAGATATATCCAAAAGAGGCAAGTTCCAAACTTTTGCAATATAGAGATAGAGTACATTCTTACTAATTTCATAATTTGTACCATTAAAAAATTATCTAAAACACTAAGGGTGTGTTTGATGAGTAAAGCAGATATGAGTTTTGATATCTCCGAATATCAGAATCTTTTTTTGTGTTTGGTGAAGTAAGAGAGTCTTCAAATAGAGAGTTTCAATATCTCCCGAATTCGGGAGATATCAATATAAAAGGTTTGATATCTCTATCAACCGTAGGTCATTTCTCGCCACCGGCTACCATTGTCACCGCCAACCACCACCATTGTATGTTACCCCCGCTTATCACTAATTAATCATGATTTTAAATCTCTCCAAACAAATTCTTTTCAGATTTTAAAATTCATATCATTTTCCCCATATTTCATAACTCATATCTTATCATATCTCCAAAACTCACCAAACGAACCTTAACTGATAACGTTATCCCAAACAAGGCATAAATAGATGAGTTTAAAGTCTTGTGAAAATGGAGGCAACCGAACAAGACTTAGCGAGGGGCATTTAGATGAGGTGAGGTAGATATAAGTTGGACTGGACCTGATTCGCCCATACTAAGTGTAATCTCACACTATGGCTCCTAATCTCAATATTGAGTCTACATTCAAAACCCTATCATTTAAATAATAAGGTCATGTTCTCTTCACCTGATCTAAATGGTTCTGATCTGATTTGAATGCAAATATTTATAAATGTTTATGATCTGATTTAATCTGGTCTGATTTGATCTGATTCCAGTAAGAATAAATAATACGTAAAAAAAGATAAGTTGAGTAAAACATGGCCTAACCTTACCACTTATTGTTGGCGGAAAATTTTAGGACCACTGTATATAACCCGTTTTTGAGCAGTGTATTAAAACACATTTTTCACGAATTTAATTTGTACATCGTAATTGATTTGACCAATTTATTAATGACCAATAAACATAAAATTAATATAGTGCATCTCATCTTAATTATTGCATTACTATAAGTATTCCTTAAAGATTAAGGTTCTTCAAATTAACACCAAAGACTAGTGTTATAATATGACACGTACTTGAGGTGATTCCTATCCTCTTAACACCACTCTTGGTCTCCTGTTATGCTATAATATCTATTGTAGCATAACAGCGAAAAAGATGAGCAAAAATGATTTGAACAAATGAGAGTTACAAGGGTAAGAACCATACAAATGCTTAATGGGGCATTGTAAAACTTAAAATGACTCGGGTGTCGTATTATTCATAATGAATATTAATATATTTCTTTAATCAAATTTAGGGAATCCAGACATGCACTTAATTAGTCATCAACTTTGTATGCATACTACATCAACCGTACTCTATATATAATCCAAATTTGGAATTATTTAAGAATGGCTAGGAAAAGAAACTTTACAACTAATTATTTTTTCTCATCATCAATGGCAATTTTTTTAACTTCATCATCAATTCAATGTCAAAACAATGTCCAGAGAGAATCTGATGAAGAAATTCTGAACAAACTTGCCCTAGATTGCGCCAAACATGTGCTCGATGATCCATTCAGGAGCGATTTCAAGAGCGTAACTATGTCTCCAGTAAGTTTAGTTTCGTCTTTCATTTTACCCCACAGGTTTTTGACATTTATTTTTAATATCATAATTTGACACCAGGATTTTATAGTTTTTTTTTAGCCTGGAATTGGGTCCCAACTCCTTAATCCACTAAGACTAGTAGAGTAGAAATCTTTTCCAATTTGCCTCTCCAACCATTAGCTTTAATTTGTTGAGTGAGTTGGTTCTTTGACTAACATCAACATTTATTGACCTAGAGATATGATTCTAAATAACTCAATGAGCATATAGCATTTACAAAAGACTATATGTTTGTGTGTTTATATAAACTTTGAATTCTTTGTCTAGGGCTTTCATGGAGTAACTAAAACAAAAATCAAAACAATGTCAAAATCACATCAATCTCGCATCCCTACTGTCAAGGAACTAACTCAACCAAAAGCTCAAGCTTGCAGACGTAACATTTTTGAGCCTTACACGTGAAACCTTAATTTTTTTTAAACTGGGTGGCAGTGAGTTTCGAACTCGTGACCTCTTGGTCATCAAGGCTCCGATACCATGTCAAGGAACCAACCCAACCAAAAAGCTCAAGCTTGTGGTTGTGGCCCATGAATAATTGTTATATACTCTAACATCTACGAACTCATTGGTATAGATAACCACTTCTAATTGACTAGGGAGTAACTTGTTTTAGTTCTTGCCTATCATATCAATATAAAAAATAGTTCTTGCATTTTTTATTTAGTTATTGAATTTCCTTTTTCAGTTAAATTGACTATGTAGGGTGGGGTTCCCATGACAATGGAACTCCATGTCATGAGATGACCCGGGAGTGCTCCGGTGCTCCGTTCGTAAAATTAACGATTTCTACCCCTAACCCCCTGGTAAATCTCCCCACTTGGCCCCGACCCGAACACCCCCCCCTTCAATTGCACCCCGCAAGTTAATTTTGACTTTGGAGTAAAATTTTGACTCCAAAGTCAAAATCAACTTGTGTGGTACAATTGAAGGGGGTGGGAGATGTGTTTGGGTTGTGGCTGAATAGGGGGGTTTATCGGGAGGGTTAGGGGGGTAGGAATCGTCAATTTTACGAACGGGATATCAGAGCATTTCGGGTCATCCCATGACATTGCCGGGCAATGTCATGGGAACCATGTAATCATTATACCATTGATTACTGCAGGCAAGGCAAGGGGTTAGGAAAGGACACAAGGGAACTGGAGTCTTTCATCCTCTCAACAAATTTTTCATCACAAATAATAATAGCATCCCTAATTGCCCTCCTCCACTACCCGTAGGGACTGGTGTTTTTCTTGGAGTAATGCCACAAATTAATGATCATCAAGCCAAAGATTGTTATAGTAAGTCCATTTTCTCCTCAAACCTCAAAAGTCTTTGAAATTTGACGCAAAAATGTCAAACTAAACAAATATAAAGCGAAGAGAAAAGTGTACAAACACGTGAATACATTATAGGTGCACGAGTTTGGTGTTTTTGTTGTCGAATTACATATAAAATATTTTAGTGAACTTTTATTTATAAGTTTAAATCTTTGATCGAGTTAGTTATACAACACCACACGCGAGCCTTTGTCAGGCAGAGGGGCATATTTTGGTCTGCTTAATTTAGTTTGAAATGAAATAATATAATTTGACGTGTATACGACATGAACAAGAAACCGCATACACGTATGGTGAAAAAAATTAGAAAGCATTCTTAAACACTCACTTTCATAGTCAATACTTATGAATTTTGAATATAATATGTGTTCACTTATAATTTCAATCTAATATTCCCTCAGTCCTAGATTAATCATCTTATTTTCTTTTTTAACCCGTCCCCAAATAATTGTATCACTTCTTTAATTTTTTGTGAAAGTAATGCATATATGGTCTACAATATATCTCTTTCATCTAATCACATTTAAATCACTTACGTTTTACTTTTCAACATTTCTCCTAAACTTTGTGAAGTCAAAATAGGCAATTAGTTTGAGACTAAGGAAGTATTATTAGATTGATAATAACTGTAATTTTGTATTAATAATTATAAAAACAAAAGTAAAAAATTAATTGTGTGACCGAGTTAGTATTTGTTTAGAGCAAGAATGCAGTTATATATATGCACCCAAACAAGATAGTTGGGAAATAAAAAGTGTAATTAAGGCATACGTTACACTTTAAAAGTGGGACAAGTGAATACACACACAAAAGAAAGATCTCTTTGAATCATAAAATTAGAATGCAAATACATTTCTTGAATTGTTTTTCTAAAATTATTTAAGAAAATATAACTCATGCATTGTTTTTTTTAAAATAATTTGTGAAGTCCAACAACTTCCCAATCTTTTTATTTTAAAATTGACATTAAAAATTATGTTTCTATATTCAAATAAAACTGGATTTTGAACAAAATAGTTTATTTACGTTGATTTTTTTATTATTTATTTTCTATATTTTTTCAGATGTGGAGAGTGAGAAGAATATGCAAACAAGTGCAGAGACAAAAATGGATGTGAGGAAGAGAAATGAAGAAGACAAAGAGTCATTTGAGTTATTTCAAGATGTCTGTTTGCCATCAGAATGGCCTTACTAAGCTATAGCATTGTCTAAATTATGGGGTTAGGGAATAATGTGCAAGTAATCAATAAATATATTAATAAGCTAAGATTAGTTTGGGAGAAATGGAATTGTCAAATTGTATCATGAAGCAATAATTTGAAAAAATGGCTGAGAATTATGAGAATCCAAAAACTATATGATTGGAAAAAAGTATTTTATAAAATAGCTGAGAGTAATTCTATAATTTGTCCTTTAATAAAGACGATTTCCATATTTGGTATTCTATTGTCAAATACTCCCTCCGTCCCAAAAAGATCGTTACGTTTCATTTTTTGCGCATCCCTTAAAATATTTTTATATCGTCTCAAATGCCAAAAAAACTTTCAAAATAACTTCTACCCACAATAAAGAAGAAATATTGTAAATTTTAGGCATTTTAGATGTCGGTAGAAGTGTTTTATGGGATGCGCAAAAAATGAAACATGAAAGACTTTTTGGGACGGAGGGAGTATTACTCTTGTAGTCTTTCTTTTATTGGTGCCTTTCTACAAATGCTCCTTTTTAAATCTTCTGTCATGTTGATATTAATTTAAAGACTAAAAGTATAATTTGACATCAACCTTATGTCCAGTGACGGTTAGACGAATAACACAAAAATAATGGATATGACTTTGAGCTAGGATTCCAACGAAAGATTACATTTGTAGACTATAGTTGAAGTAGAAAACGACTGCAATTCACAAACGATGCATCAGACGAAGCGGCCTTTGGAATTGTGTATGACAAGAAAGATATATTATCATTGTGAAATTACACTTTTTCAAAATTACACCAACATTATAGAAGATTAAAAAAGACTATTTCTGGAAAGATACCTATAAAAGAAGGATCACTAGAGTAACATTTGATAATAAAGGACGAAATATGGAAACTCTCTTTTATAAAATACCAATTATAAAATTTACCCAATTATAATAAAAACAAATACTCGTGTTGACACCTGACCCAACAAATACCAAATTTCATCTTTTAGTTGAAGCTATCCTATTTTTAAAAAATCCTAAAGTCTTTACACATGTATGCAACCAATCACAAAAACGGACTCTTCTTCGGACCATGCTACACTTACACCAAAAATTGTACTTCAATCTTATATCAAAGGTATACACCAATATTTTGATGGTTCACACTGACACAAAGTGTTGGCACGTTAACAAAAATTTACACCGACACAAAGTTTTGATGTGTTAACAAAATTTAGCATTACAGCAACACAAAACGTTTGTGCAGACCTGCGGTGTACAAATGGGGTACAAACCCTTGGGGTACAAATAGCTTTATCCTTCTTCTTCTCATCTTGCGTCCGCAATGTCAGTACCGCACCTCGGTGTCTGAATGGGGGTAGGGGGTATACGAACAACTTCGGCTTTCAACAAATCACCGTAGAAGCTTTAAAAGGCCAGTGTCATAAGATGACACCCAATTCTTGTAACAAAAGGAAGTCATTCGATCAATGGGAGGGGGGAGTACTCGAAGAGGTACGACCGACGGGAGTTGCTAGAGAGATTCGTTTCATTATGTGAAACTTATTCGAAGAAGGAGTCACTCGCCCTACGGGAGAGGTACGAAGTCACTTTGAAGATTCGTTGAGCATAATTCAACTAATTCGACCAACGGGAGAGGTACGAAGTCACTCGATCAACGGGAGAGGGAAGCCCGCCAAACGACTGATGCCCAGCAAAGCCAAGGCTTTTCTGCATAAAATGCATTTCGTTTATAAAATTAACGATTCTTATATCTAACTTGACTCCAAAAATCTCGTGCACCTACCTCACCGAATGACCCTCTTCGATAGCCGTGGTACTAAACTCAGACGGGATCAGGTTATAAGACGATCGAACCGTGACCCATACACGCAACTAGTCCTATTCAATCTTAGAAAAAAATCAAACTAGACCGGGCCCTCTAGCCAGTTCAAGTTCCGGTCCCCGTAATATATTTTTTTCTATTTCTATTCACTAACTAATTCTCCACCGTCCCTGTAGTTTTTTTTGCTTCTCTTCTGGAATCTGATTTCAATCTTCAACTGCCTCACAGAAGAGGATCTGAGAGTCTCAGCAGAGGCAAGGGAAACTCGAGATAAAGAATGGGTATCCGAAGAACAGCCCTCGTCGGCGGCGGCGGCGGCGGAGTGGTGGATTCTCTGAGCGAAAGAGCAGCAAAGATGAGGGAGGCAGTGCAGAAGAGTCAGTCCATCACAGAAAATATGGTTTCAATCTTGGGTTCATTCGATCACCGGCTTTCTGCCCTTGAAACTGCCATGCGCCCCACTCAGGTCTCGCTTCTCTTTCTCTCCAAGCTTTCGTCGATCTTTTCCTTAGAAGCAAGCTTTTGATCTGCATTTGAAATTTTTTGTTTTCTGTTGGAGTGTTGCTTTGGTGGGGAAGTGTGGAAATTCGAACTGAAAGTGAAACAAGTTTCAATTTTTTCTGGGTATAGTTAAAGAATTGGAACCCTGTAGCTTGGATCTGCTCTCTGGTTCTCTGTTTGGCAACAAAACCTGCCACCAAAAACAGGGAAAAATGATTTATTTTAATATTTTCAAAGGAGAGGAAATAGGTAGCAATACAAAACACAGCATTATCTGTTAGTTTGGGGCAAAAAAATTTTTGAAATTAAAAATTTGGTTCTGTGATCAGCACATGCCTTTGGAAAATCAACTGTTTGAATGCGGGATAGAGGGGGTGTTTGCAAAAAAAATAAGTTTTCTTGTGTAGTGTTTGCAAATTTAATTATTCCGTTGAGTATACTTCTCTACTTAATCAAAGAGTGTTTGTAAACAGAAATGCTGAAGTGATTAACTTATGCGCAAAGGAGATGTTTATAAATGAACAGTGAAGTGCAAATCGTTAGAGAATTGTTTGCAAAGACAAAGTTGTCTAGAAGCAACACGAAAAAGCATTAAGCGTGTAGCTGCTTGTTTTTGCCTTATGGGGTTTAAGTAGCTCCAAGAAGGCATTTATTTTAGCCTTTTTCCATTACCAATCACCAAAATTTTAGAAGTATCTTAAGCATGAAAATAAAGTACTCGCAAACATTCTCTATGCTTAGCAGTTTGCAACAGTTGTGGTAACTTGAATTACGTAGTAGTTCTTCAGACATATCTTATTCTTCGTTCCATAATAATTTGAAGTGGAACTGCATTGTTCATTTTCTAGATCAGGACGCATTCAATACGAAGGGCTCATGAGAACATCGACAAAACTTTGAAGGCTGCCGACGTTATTTTGTGTCAGTTTGATATTTACCGACAGGTTTGCTATTCTTTTTTTGTAAGGTTTTTCTTTATTTCCATGAGGTGATGATCAACACATCCATATAGCATGAGATGGATTTAACTCCAATTTTTTTAGGTTATAGGGGCTTGATAACCACTTTCAATTTTAACGAAGGGGCTGCAATGCAATTAACAAATTGCACCAATTGAATTGTCTTAACCAAGTGAACGGAACATGGTAGATGTAGTGTGTGAGATAGGTAGCTTCATTGAAAAAATTCAGATCTTGATTTTTTAGTAAGCTTTAGTGAAAACACAAAACGTTCATTAGGATTCAGAAAAGTTCAGTAAACCTGAGAAAATTCAGGAAGTTTAGAAAAAAATAGATTCAGGAAAATTAAGGAAGTTCAGAAATAAAGAAAATAATCAGTCATGATGAAATAAAATAATTCTATTAATAATAATAGAGTATGAAATTTATTATAATTATCAAAATTTCTATTTCCATTAAACTTTTTATGGTTGGGTATGCTTTTTGCTATTTCTGATGCTTTTTCACCATTTCTTTTGGGTATAATATCTTTTGTGAGTACACAATCCAATTCATTTACTCAGAGCATAATGTGTGCTCCCCTTAATGGGCGGGCTGGCATTGATTCAACGACTTATTATTATATATATAGGCAGAGGTTAAAATACTAAAAGGGCCACATGAAGATCTGGAAAGTTACCTTAAGGCAATTGAACAATTGCGGGACAATATTAAATTTTTCAGCAACAACAAAAGCTTCAAGAGTAGTGATGGGGTGCTCAACCATTCAAATACTTTACTTGCAAAAGCCATTTCCAAGCTTGAGGAAGAACTTAAGCATATCCTATCTTCATACAGGTTTGTTTAGTCTAATATTTTTTCTTGCATGACAATTTCACTAATCTTGCTTATATATGTAGTTCAAGTCAATCAATGCTAAGTTATTGTTTTTTTCATTGCAATAGTTTGCCTTTAGAAATCATTCTACCCTTATGTCATTGGCCATATTACTAATATATAAAGTTAATACCCAATTTAATCCTTTGACTATATTCTTGCTACTGTGTTTACTTTGTGTGTGTTTTTGTTTTTGAGCAGAAGTCTCTTGGAAACAGGGTATGGTCTGCCTACACATACCCTCCCTAGACCCTACTTTTTTGTGGGGTTTTACAGGGTTTGTTGGTGTTAATCCTTCGAATATACACTGTTACTCTATTTTGTCATCAACTTTCATTTGGATTCAATGTGGTCTCCGTTTATGCAGTTTGGACTCAATTCGATCATCACCCATATTTCCTCTAATAAAGTGGGGTGTTTTCACATGTTGATGGCTTAACTAGGAAAATACTACGTAGTTGAGGACTAAATTGAGTCCTAAATTGCAGCTGCCTTCTAGAATGCCGTATACTAGTGATATGTAATCATTTTGCGAGTTATCTTTGTGACTATAACTAGCTTAACATAAACTCGTGATTCTGTTTTCTTGTTTCTTCAGCAAAGCGGTTGATCCTGATCGTCTTTTTGAATGCCTTCCGAATTCAATGAGACCGTCAGCCGCCGAGCCACCTAGAGATCAGGCTGGTGGCAAAACCCCCTCATCCCATAGTCATGCAGAGCAGAATAACAATGGACCTGAAAATGCTGTGTTCACACCATTAACTCTAATACCTCCAAGGGTTCTTCCTTTACTGCGTGATTTGGCGCAACATATGATTCAAGCTGGTAACCAGCTGCAGTTATTAAAAATATACAGGTAAACAATGTAGCTTGCGCATGTTTGCTTTATGTGCTTTGGGTCTTGTTACTAGTGTCGGTATGTTGTTGAAGAACCAAACGCGGTAATGAATTCATAGTAGTGCACCAAACTGAACAACGGAAGTCGGGGGCCAAAGAGAGAATGACCTAATAATTGTCCAACAAAAAGTGGGAAAATTTATGAACTTATATGCTATAGTTAGTCCTATGGATAGAAAAAATAGTAATTTCCGCGTCTTCTTACTGTTAATTAGGGATGCCCGGTCTCCTGTTTTGGAAGAAACCCTTCATAAGTTGGGTGTTGAAAAACTTAGCAAGGACGATGTACAGAGGATGCAATGGGAAGTTTTGGAAGCTAAAATTGGGAATTGGATTCATTTTATGCGAATTGCTGTAAGTTTTATATACTACTTCTTCACGTAAGCGTTTTGTTCTTTCAAGAAATATATTCATGGCTGGTTACATGACTATTAGGTGATTGACACAATTGGGCCCCAAATTTGATTTATTTTCTATTTCATTTATGGCCTTCTTGCATCTTTTGGTCCTTCCAAATACTTATCCGGCCATTGTCTACTTTAATTTTTCCGGATAAGCGATCAGAAAGGACCAAAGTGATGAGGAACCCATAATTGTGCACCCAAAGTAGGAAAAAGAATGTCAAAGATCAGAAGCGAAAATGTCCTAATAGCGTTTGGGACCAGAAGTGAACACCAACTATCTGCAAACTATGTAACAGGTAAAACTGCTGTTTGTTGGTGAGCGTAAGGTCTGCGATCAAATATTTGAAGGATTTGAGTCTCTCAGAGATCAATGCTTTGCTGAAGTTACTATGGGCAGTGTTGCTCTACTTCTTAGTTTTGGTGATGCAATTGCCAAAAGCAAGAGGTCACCTGAGAAGCTGTTTGTGCTCCTCGATATGTATGAAATTATGCGAGAGCTTCACTCAGAGGTCTGCAGCATTACTTTTTATAGTCACATCTATATCAATCATATTTCTTCCCTCTATTTCTTTTACTCCTATTCATCCCGTCTTAACCTACAAATAAAAAAATTAGTGAATATGTTTTGGATGTAGAAAATTTGCTTCTTTAGTTGTAATCCCCCCTTTATCCATCAAATCATCTTGAAGTAGTTTTTTAATGTTTAATAGAGAATTTTATACTCTTTCATTGCCTGGTATGGTTTTTTCACCTTTTTAGTTTAGTGCACATGAAGAGATGAACATATGAATATTTTGCAGATCGAAGAATTATTCAGGGGTAAGGCTTGCCATGAAATTAGAGAATCTGCCTTTGGATTGACGAAACGCCTTGCCCAAACAGCCCAAGACACCTTTAGTGATTTTGAAGAAGCTGTCGAAAAAGATGCAACTAAAACTGCAGTCTCAGATGGAACGGTCCATCCTTTAACAAGCTATGTGATCAATTATGTAAAGTTCCTTTTCGAGTAAGTTGGAAGAAATTTTTCCCTTCAAATGCATATGATTAGTTAGTAGTTCTACTATACTTTGAAATAATTCAAATCTTTAGCCGTGTTTGGCTTGCATGTCAGTGTGTCGTGAGTGTTTGGTTTCACAGGTGCAATAAGCCTAATAACCAAACCAAACCAAACAAGTCCAGTATATCCCACTCAAGAGTGGAGTCAAGGGAAATTTAAAAACTGTTTCCGAAAGAACTTTTGACAACTGTGACACCAATTACTACACCTTAGAATAAGCCCAACAGGCCAACAATCAACACTGTTGAGGTCTGGCCGTCTGGGGGTCAAAATTATGCGGTCTTACCCTTGCAGGAAAAAAAATAGAGAGGTTGTTTTTGTTACATTGCTGCATTTACTGCCCGAACCTTCATAGAACATTAGAAACAAGGGAAGTTAAATTTGCTATTTTGATTTAGTCCATTATGTGCCCGAAATTGAAACATTGTCAACAATGACTCTTTTAGCTCCATTGTCAATGGACGGAAAACCGTGACACTGGGTAGTGAGAAACAAAAGAAAAACAAAAAAAGCTACAAGGAATCTACAACATCTAGAGTCTAGACGCAGCTCTTACAAGGACTCGAGAAAATGAAATTAAATGCAATAAGCTTAAACTGTGCTTATTATTTTCCTCTTTATAAATTTGTTTGCTTCACTTTTGTTTTTCCTGCAGTTATCAATCAACATTGAAACAACTGTTCCAAGAATTTGAAAATGGGGAGGACTCAAATTCTCAGCTAGCTTCAGTAACTATGCGAATAATGCAGGCTCTTCAAACCAATTTGGATGGGAAATCTAAGCAGTATAGAGATCCCGCTCTTACTCACTTGTTCCTTATGAACAATATTCACTATATGGTCAGATCTGTCCGCAAGTGCGTATGTTCTTACCCATCTCCATTCTCCACATGTATTTATGTACATTATTCCAGTCTATATTATACATAATTTGGAGAGCGACTGAATAAAGTAAGGGTGTCAAAAGGATGTTATAGATATTTTTTGTTCGGAGGGTAATGGACCGATTGCGAACAACCTCTTTACTTCTGAGTAGGGGTAAGGTCTGTGTACACACACCCTCTTCAATTCCTCGGAGCTTACCTTTTGTGGGATTTTATTGGGTTTGTTTTTGTTGTTGTAGAGAGTATATAGTAATCAAAAGAGATATTAACCCTGAATAGTTGTGACATTTAATGGTTCCTTAGGATTTAGAAGATCATAAAAATGTGATCCAATTGATTAGAAAAAGGCAACAGATGGATTGGATCCGATCCATTATCATTATTTCAAGTGATGGATTGGATGGATTGGGAGGATAGTGATAAAATGGAATCCCTCACCACCCTTGCGATTATTTTTACCTCGCTTCTAGGTCTGAAGCCAAGGATCTTCTAGGGGATGATTGGGTGCAAAGACATCGCCGGATTGTCCAACAACATGCAAATCAATATAAGAGAATTGCTTGGGCGAAGGTAATTACTCCATACTTCCTCCGTCCCAGTGTATCTGTCCGGTTTGACTTTTTCGAGTCAAACTGGATAAACTTTGAGCTTTAATTAAATAAAAATCGTAATATATTTTAACATTAAAATGACTTTATTGGATTTATCGCATTGAGAACTTTCAAAATTGTATATCATTATGCTAATATGCAATATAAATTGAGAGTAATTGAAGTTCAAAGTTTATCCAGTTTGACTCCAAAAGTCAAACTGGACAAATACACTGAGACGGAGGTAGTATTATTTTTTGTTTCTCAACTACCGCTTCTATTAAAATAGTTAATATAACATCATATATATGACAATAACATGTTTCCAAGTTTCTCTATCTTTATAAGTAGAGCCGTAGGGGTAAAGTTTGCATACACTAACACCTACTATTGTATAGCGTGTTTGTGGGACCAACCCCTTATTGGGTTGTTGTATATGGTAATGCATGTTTCCATGTTGTAGATATTGCAATCTCTATCCATACAAGGCCTAACATCGTCCGGGGGAAGTGGGTCAGTTGGGGCAGATGGACAAAACAGTAGCGGAGTTTCAAGAGCAGTTGTGAAAGAGAGGTTCCCTAAAAGCTCATTACACGTGAAACGTTTTTGATGCGTGTATTAGGTCTTGTTTGGCTGGGAGTCTTCGGAGGGAAGTTGAGAGGAGGATTGGTTTTTGTTTTGCTAATTTAGTCTTAGATTTTAAAATAGATTTATATATATATATATATATATATATAATAAATGATGTATTTCTATACAATTATTTTTACATCACTTTACAAGTAATTTGACAAAATAAATATTAGCCCTCCTTTTCCCTTCCATTCAAAATCTCCTAAGCAAACAAGGGCTTAGACTTCCAACTGCAGTGCTAAGATTTTTTTACTTTCATCAGGTTGAGGATATTCAATGCACAGTTTGAGGAACTTCATCAAAAACAAACTCAATGGACAGTCCCTGACTCAGAGTTGCGCGAGTCTCTTAGGCTTGCAGTTGCAGAAGTTCTGCTGCCAGCATACCGATCTTTCATTAAACGCTTTGGGTATGTTTTCAATGATTTCTTGAAAATAGTCTTATCTACTTCCGAGCAGGAGAAAGGTCAGCATACACACAACCTCCCAGACCCTATTTTTGTGGGATTTTACTAGGAAATGATCCTTTGGAAAATCATATGACCAGTGCCAATAGAGTTAAAAGAGTCATTTTTGACAATTCTTTTAGATTCGGGTGAATAAAAAACTAAATCAAAATGATACTTTAATCTTCGTTTGCTTTTCTACTCTCGATGAAGTTTTTGGGTAGTAAATGTAGCAACGCATCAATGGTCCAACATGAACAACCTCTGTTTTTTAAGATTTGGTACATCTTGACCCCAAACCTCAATGAAGTTAAGATTATACTGGGTTTTTTGTTGTTGTTGGGTTGTCTATGGGGAAGTGAAAAAGGTACATTGTTGAACTCTACAGGCTTTTGGTGGACAATGGTAAGAGCCTGCAGAAATACATCAGATACACAGCAGAAGATCTTGAGCACATGCTTGGCGAATTCTTCGAGGGTAAGGTGGCGATTCCCGCGAATGACCCAAGACGCTAGGCTCGCCTTTTCCATTCGCCGAGTTGTGTAAGCTATTGATATTTGAAATGGCATTTGTATAATTCATTGATTATTTTTTTTCTAGTGGTTCTTAGGTTATTAACCCCCTAATTTGCTCGTAAATGTCGTGTTTTTTAGCCGTTTGGTGGTGTGTAATAATAATGGAACTCTTTTTGTATGTTATCACATTCTCATGTTTTTTTGTTCTAGCTCTTAAAACAAAATATTTACAAGAGGACAATGCTACAATGACACCAAGATAGACACCATAGATGACACCACTTGTGTTTTACAAACATGCACTGATAGTCATTAGATGTATCCACACACAGATAGTCATTATCTATTGTCTCTGCATGTTTCTAAGACACAATGATGTCATCATGGTGTCCAATCTTGGTCTAAAAATGATATTCTTTCTTAACTAAATGTTTGGATGCGTATATTGTTTGGATGATATTAACCACTTTGGGGTCGAGCGAAACACCCGATGTCATAATATGACATTGAAAACCACATTCTCAAATACTCATATTGATGCAGGATTCTCGTACCATGAATAAGAAAAAAATATTTTTTTTATAGTTCATTTGTAATTTTCATAACATTTTTGCTAAATTCACATTTCACTTTGCTTTATTCAATCTATTTACACCAAATAGAGAAATTTTGTCCACAAATGTTGGGAAAAGAAAGTAAGAAGTGAAAGTACAATTATAGTTAGCGCCACCTTTTCGTGAACATAAAATATGCCGTTGAAATTATTTATAGCATGTCTAATGCAATAATAGCTTACTACTATTACAAGTTCCTTTTTTCATACAACTTGCATATGTCTAAGAACCATGTTGTTGAACACAAATGGAAAGTTACATCACAAAAACACACTTTGGCCTTATTTAGTACTCTCTAATATTTTTTTTAAATAGCGTTAGTGTTTTGGAAATTTTTTTAATGGTGCATATAATCTTGAAAATACTAAAATTAAATGTTGTAAGATAGTCTTTTTTAAAACGTTAAAACTAAACTTTGAAAACACGAAAACAAAATGTTGATAGATAATTTTTTTTAAATGTTAAAACTAAACTTTGAAACTATTGCTAATTAGATCCTTTGAATAAAATTCTAGATGTCTATTTGTCTAATACAACATCAAACTCAATATAATTCCAACTCCTTTACTACGTATGATATCAAGAAATACACGATTTTGTTTCTATAAATAAACAAGATAGTCATTTCTTTTCGATCTTGATGCATTCGTGAATTTACCAATTAAACTTCATGGAAAAATGATGACAATATTTCCATAAATTTAAGATTATATAATATGAATACTTCAAGATTGCATAACTATAACCATTGTTTCTAGAAACTTCAATATTCTTACAATAATTGCCTGAGAAAATTTTTAATTTACATCGACACCACATTATTTGCGGCGTATATGTGATCAATATGCAATCTTGGAGTACAATTTTAATACTATTGAGTTTTGGGAAACACTAATGATAATTGCGTAACTTTATATTCTCTTTGTCCCGTAATAATGTTTCACAATGCATTTATTATGTGTCCCAGAACAAGATTTTACTTTCCATATTAGGCTAACTTTTCTGGCTTACATCGATTTTCTCCTTGGCATCATTTTCAACCATACAATTTCTATTTTCTTAATCTCTGTGCCGGATAAATTGTGAAACATTAGTACGGAACATGGAGTATTTTTATAAAATCTACCTCGTAAGATTTTTGAGAGTATGGACAAAAATTTTCCAGTAAATTATTTATCAAAAGATAACAATAATGGTAGCCGTTAGTGTTTCTGAGAGATAAGGACAAAACATGTGGTTGGGAACAACTTCAGCATTTAGCTAGCGTTTATCTTTAACATTTTCAAAATTACTCTGTACATTAAATATTTTATAAAAAATGCTAAGATTTATCAAAAATGTTGTTTTCAAACAGGGCCAAAACTATCAAACTATTACTTAATAAATTGCAAACATTAGAAAACTAATAAAGAGACCAAAAGATTATTCCAATCCATCCGTGTAAAAAAAGTGTAATGTCTGATCCGAATGTCACACTGGAATTCAATTTGGTCTCCCACTACAAAAGCCAAGTTGATAACATACATACATATAGTGAGTGGATGCTAATGTTCATCCAATTCCCACAATTTCATACTTTCATTCATATCCTCCCTATACATCTATCTTATTATGCTTCTTTTTAGACCTCAATATTTATTTTAGGTATTTTTTTTTGTTATGCCAACAAGAGTTGACAAACACAAATATTCCATGGAAATTTGTTTGTCCTCAACATGTCCTTTTCCCCTCTTCATGGATCTCATTTGTTAATTGTCCGTTTGGAAACATCTTTCGCGTCTTGAAAAGGTTAATTAGTTAACAATAGAGGTTAACTAGTTAATAAGACCAAAATAAGACTTTTAATGTCAACTAATTTTAAAAAAGTTTTCCAAAGCATTAACGCACTATTAAAAAAATTATCCAAAGCGTTAACGCACTATTAAAAAATAATAAGACCTTCAATGTTATTATACCAAAATAAGACTTTTAATGTCAACTAACTTTAAGAAATACTGTGAAATTTTTAACATTGTAGCACCGAATAAATTCCTTACAGATCATTTCCCTTGAAGGCACTTCCTTAAAACCTCTCCACGAGAGGCACCTCTTCAAGTCCTTTTTCCGCCCTCTAGTTGGGGTTCTCAAGAACAATTGACCGATAAAAAAAATATAGAATCAAATTAATCCGGAATCATATAAAATCCATGTGAAATAAATCAAAATGTTATTATAACAAATAGGAAAAATTATCTAAAATAATCCCACCTTTTTGCGCTCTTTCAAAATTAATCTCATTTTTCACTGTTATCGAAAAAAATCCAACTTTTTCGTATGGGTGCCAGTTTTGGGTTGCTGGTAAAAAACTAATGGTGACTTAACATGATTTTTGAAAAATGTCCGTTTTGCACTAATAAATGAAAGATGAGATTATTTTATGTAAATTCTCTTTTTTAGTTTTTTTAATTTCTAACTTTAAATTTAAATGTGTTTTTAATTTTTTTTATATATAATACCGAATTTAAGCGTTTTTTAGAGTGAAACTAAATATTTTTTTCAATAATAGATAATCTGGTAATAATTAAACAATAAATTATTCTACACTATAGAACTAATCTACTTCATAACTCACTACGTTTTTTGTAAGTTGCAATTATTTATCTTGAGCGGTACATCAAATTGTTTTTTGATACTATATTATTATTATTTCTTAAAAAATGGCACTACAAAACTTGTGAATATTTTTTGATAATTATTTGTAAATATTTTTTGCAAAACAATATTACAATAGTTGTGAAAATAGCACAATAATTTTTTCTCTGAAATGAAACTCGTATTTTTATAACTCACTATTTTTTGTTGTATTACCATTTTTTCATGAACCAACACTCCGAAATATTTATTGATAATCTTTTATTACCTATAATATTTTTTTCTAAATGGAACTATCTAACTTGTGATTTTTTTTATAATTAAGTACAAATTTTTCCCCAAAATAGTGATTCAAATTGTGAAAATAACATAAATTTTTTTCTCCGAAACGGCACTTATAAATTTTATAATTCACTACAAGTTTTTTTATATTGCAATTTTTTTCTCGATCAATACTCTGAATTATTTTTGACAATTTAATATTATACTTACCCAGAACATAAAAAAATTGCAAATCGTGAAACAAATTTCTAACAAGAGTCTATTGTTATATTATTAAAAACAAGAAAAAGTGCCATTATTGGAGATAATTTTTCCTAACAACTATTCTAAATAGATCCCAAGTATTCCAACGGATCAAATTCAAACTAGAACCCAACCAATTGCCACTTCCAAAATTGTGACTTGTGAGTGTGCTAGGGTTCTAAGCAAAACCTAACATTGTCTATCATCATCCTCCTCGTGCCTGGAATCACCCGGAACTCGTTCAGGTTGCTCATAACTAAGCTTGGAATCTTTTCAATTTTCGATCTAAACACTGCTGTTTATGTGATTTGATTTGAGATCTGGTCGATTGTTTTCTTTTGAAGCTTTTGGAGTTCATATTTCTTTCTCGATTCACATTATACGGCACATTTCTGGAATAGTTTCCATCTATTCGAAAGCTTATGGCAATGGCTTGAAGATTCAATACATACTTGAGGCTAAGGTTTTTAATCAGACTTTATTTTTTTCTTGTTGTTTTTTCTCGCGTAGACGGTACGTTGTGGCATTGGTGATTTAGGCGATGAAAACCGATTGGGCTAGCTTTTCAGATGGAACTACAGACGATGAGGACAATGAACACGGCTTCAATGATGATGAGAATATTTGTTCATATTCATCGGGTTATATACCCAAATTACAGTTCCGGTAATATTCGCTGTGTTTTCCCCCATCCAATGTTTACTGGGGTAATTCTTTCTTGCATTTGTCTCTATTTTTACAGTTTTACATGGTCAGGCTGCGTAGATTTTGACACCGTAGACCCTAATGTAGTATGGATTATAATAGGTTTGTTGTTTCTTTTTCTTTATTTCGGTATTGGTTTTTCAGGAAAGACATATCAAAAGCCAAGTGGATCGACAAGTTTGGAATGGCTGAGATAGTTGAGATGAAGGGTCGTCTCTGGGCAACCACAGGGATAGTTCGCAACGGGAAAATCTATTGTTTCATTGAAGAAACTTTGTCTGTGACAAATTTCATTTTTTCTTGGTTCTTCATTTTCGTTCCCCGTGCTACTGATATGAAAGCTCGAGATTTTGTATTGCTCTTTTCTTGTAGGTATTTAGTTGAAATAGGGGCTTTGCATCTATTTGACCACATTGATACGCCGATGTCTCTTAAAGATGTGTATGACAAGGTTTCAGAAGCAAAGAATAGATTTTCTTGGGTTGCTTTTGAAGCTTACAGACACTTGAAGTGCCTCGGGTACATTGTACAACGTCATGGTTTTCTTTGGACTGTGAAGAGTGTTACTGCCGATTCATCCGAAGACATTTATTTCATCTGTGAGAGGTTCAAACGTATGAACATTAATGAGGTGAAACCAGTATTCGATGTTTACCCTCCCAGTTCCAGATTCAGAAAATCTTCTCCAGGTCAACCAAGCTTTATACTATGTTTCACTGGGTAATTTTTTCCCATGTTATCAATATAATCTAATACTCTGTTTGGCAGTAACATCTGTTTATGGGTGTTTTTTATGAAAGTAAGCAATCTTTTGATGCAGAGGCTTTCCACCATCCAAACAAGAAATTGAAGAACTAGAAAGGTGTTGCAATGGCAGTCCGATAAAAGTATGCAATGTAGATCACGGGCGTGTTAGTTTCATCTCTTTCAAGAAAGTCGAGCTCCCCGCTCTTCCCTGAACTGCATGTCGTGGTGTTCGAACCACTTGTTCTACGTGGGATTAACGATGCAAAGTACGAATGGAGTTTATGATTTTTCTTGAATATCAAAATGTTCATTGTAGGATTTTGAAATATACGAAGAGTTTTGTTATTTTTTTTCCAAAAATAATTGTAATTATATTTTTGAAATATGTGAATTCGACTAGATGGAAAACATAGCTAGTGCTCTAATAATGTCTGGTGATGCTGCATTTTACTTCTCAAATTTGTACAAGTCTACTAGCAATATTTTCTTTTATGAGTGTATTTATATGTATTAAAAATGTTAAAATTAATATTATCTGGTGTGATATATTTGCTTCTATGAAAAATGGTGTGAGTACTATCTTTATATTCCTTGTGTTTATACTCCCTTTGTCCCAAAATAATAATCCCTATTTACATTCTTGGTCAAATTTTACAATCTTTGACCGTGATTATTGAAAAAAGTAAATTTAGTTTTTATGTGAGTTTAATATAATTAGTTTAATTTTATAATGTAGTTTTTTTTACTATATCAAACTTGTACAACATTTATTGGTGCACAAATATAATTATTAATGTTCAAAGTGTCACATTGATAATCGTGAAAGTCATATTTAAAATTATTTTTGGGATGGAGTACAATTTTATTACAGTTTTTTAGATGATTTCGATCAATACCAGACTCAAACCATTCGATATAGAACATCAAATTCCACAATATTAAAAAAATTTCATATTTTCTCTCAGATTAAATTATATGTTTACTATTTACATTATTAAACTTCATTAACATTCTTTCTTTGTTTTCGTTAGTCAATTGATAAAATAATAGTCATGTCACTACTATTTTTGTAGATATTTTGATGTAGTTTTTAAATATGTAATTTCCATTTTTAAATTCTACAATATTTTTCATATAAAATGATTTGAAAATAATTTTAGTCTAATACTCCGTATCATAAACCGAAACATATAATTTAAATTCAGACGGAGAGAGTAGAATATAGTCCATACTAATGTTGTGAAAAGAGAAGTTTGTTGTTAGCTTCTCTTCCCAATAACGTGTTTCTATTTTTCTAACAAATTCTAGTGATTAGGATACAAATACTCCCTCCCTCCTCATTTTGATTACTGAGTATAATTTTATTCTCTCTCTTCTTGATAACTTTTATTTATTTTTATGTTTTCATTGATTATTTGATAAAATAAAATATTCTTGTCACCTTTTATTTTATACAACTTTTGCTATAGTTTTTTAATATATAATTTTTATTTCTTATTGATATATCAAATATCAATTTGTAAATAAAATTATTTAGAAAAATGGTAAGATTTTACCTCTTAATTCTCATTTTGTTATCTAAATGGAGATGAAGGCAGCATTGTTTGATGACTTCAATGGTGAAAAGATAAGGAATCTTCGTTTGTTTGTGGAGTTACTTTGGTTTTACCATGAGTTTTTGTTGTAAGAAAAAGGGGTAGATTAAGGTTAAAAAAATTAATTAATTAATTAATTAACTAATAATACGAGTAATAAAAACACAATGGTTACAAAAAGAATGAAGCCTCATCCATTGTTTCCCTACTAATTTACAGAGAGAAGAGCTTAGAATTATACATTGAAAAAATCATCTTTCTTCCGCAGATGACAGAGAAGAAGCCGGAGGAGATGACAGGCAAGAAACTGCCGATGAATATGATGTTCTTACTAAATCTGCAGAATTTGCAGAAATCGAAGAAGAACAAGAAGATGAAGATGAAGAAATTCCAATGAGCAGATCCATGAATGCTCTGACTATATACCCATGATTCTCCTTCTCGTTCATCTTCAAGTACCATCCCAGAAGCTCCTGCAGCGATTCGATCCCGTTGCTCGCCACCATCTCCTCCATCGATTTCTTGAAATCGCTGTACGGGTCGCCGGAATCCATGGCCACCGCCACGCCCTTCTCGAACGGCGCCGGCGAAACCCCGGGTTTCTTTCCTGCCCTGTTTTTACCCTGTTCTTCCTTCTCGGGTCTCTGTTTTTTGGGGTTTTCTTGTATGGCGGAGCTGGTGCCGCTCCGGTCGAAGAAGAGGCGGTCCGACCGGACGCCGGTGATGATGATCCGCTCGTCGTCGGACTCCGTCGAGAAGTCCGCCGACTCCGAGGCGCTGTGCGTGAACCAGGACTCCGGCGTCCCGGCGCCCTCCGACGACGGGTCCTGGTACCCGGAGTTCGCCGTCTTGAACATACCCTCTCCCGGAGCGGCGGCGGCGGCGGCGTCGTAACGGGAAGACAGAGTCTTGCCGGGGGCGGCGCAGGAATTCCATTGCCAAGAACTCGCCACGGGCTCCGATTTCTCTCTGTTCTTGCCGAAAACGGAAGGTAGGATGTGGAGCTTCATCGGAGATGGAGATTTTCCGGCGAGATTTCAGAGAATTCTTTAAGGGTCTGTTTGGTTTGTGAGAAATAAATATATGTTTTCCCGGTGAAGATGCAGAGAGTATTAATGGCGATCAGATGAATGGCAGGTGAGAAGGAGAGGGATGTAAATAAAGCAGAGGCGGTGAGAAGAATCTGAAAATAAAAATAAAATAAAATAAAAAATAATATTTTTTTGACTTTCTTTTAGTACGGAACATTTTTTATTTTTATTTTTATGGGAACTGAAAGGGATAAATTGGGAAGAATAAATTAATTCCATAAACCAACCAAATCTAAATATGATCGGGAGTGATTACAAGAATAATTCAGTTTGGACGTTTGGTGACAGGTTTCAAATTTTGGAAATAAATATTATACCGTTTTTCCTAATGCCAAGAATAAGAAACAAAAAGTGTGAGTCAAATTGTTTTTTTATTACATAACTTATTATTTTAAGGAAAAAACACCAAATTATGAGTAAAATGTGTGGAGGAACTATTAAAATAAAAGCGTTATATTGTTATATCCAAAATAAGAGTTATAATGGTAAAATATCAACACATATAAAAAAATTACCAAAATATAGACAAAGTACCGAAATAGAAGTTTCATGTTTTTATTCCATAAATAGAAGTCACATCGTAATAATGTGGCACTGCAGATGTGCATTTTACGTAATGTACATTGTTATGATTGGTAAAGTAAATACATTTTAACTCCTATTTTAAAAATAAAAATATAAAATTCATATCTTAATTATATTTTCAATGTTTTACTTCTATTCTAGTCTTTTTTTCTCATACAATATCATAAACACAATGGAGTATCAATATATAATGTCTAATTATCATAGGACAAAGATCTTGTTTTGGAGTTAAAAACATAAAAATCTATTTTGATTTTTATGTGTTTTAGTTCAAGCAAGATATATTTCTTTTAATTTAATGAAATACATTGAAATTCTCGTTAAAGTCATGGTCTCTTCAACTTCTTCTTATTAATTACAGAGCATTACTTTTTCTTGTTAGAATCAGATCAGAAATAACTTTAAATATAACTAATTCAAACCAGATTAGATCAGATCAAAATTTATTCAAATCAGATCATAACTATTCAGATCAGGTAAAGAGAACATGACCTAAGTCCAATTATGTTAAGTTTAGTTACGTTAAGTCTATAAAATTTAAACTTCATTTGGGAATAATGACTTGAATTATCGTTAATGTTTAATGTAATTTCTTAATACTTCATATAGATTGTCTTCATAAAAGTATTGCAATTGAATTTCTGTTGCAGTGTTGAGTGTTCTTATAGCAATATTGTGCAACGGCATTTCTTGTTGCAACATTCCCAATACAAAGGACATGTTTGGAAATAGTATTAGAGATTAGCATTAGCGTTTTGAATAAAATTTTAACGGTGTAGATTACTTTAAAAACGCTAACGGTAAACGCTGGCCGTAGATAATTTTTTCAAAACGTTAACGCTAATCTCTAACGTTATTCCAAACATGCCCAAAGTTTCGCAATGGCTTTTCCCGCAGCAAGTGTTTTTGCAACAAAATTTCGGGTGCAACACGCATTATTACGAATAATAGAGATCATATGAAAATATATTATTCCCTCCGTCCTTTACAAAAGTTCCCAATTTGACTTTTTGAAGATTTAAGGGAGTATATTTTGGTGTTAACTTTCCAAAAATGCACTTTGATGTAATGGAGAAAGTAGGATGAGATGGATATAGTTTAATAAAAAAAAGTGTGATGTGATATGTAGGTTAAAAATTAGTATGGGTAAAAGTGACTTTTTAAAAGAAAAAGGGAAATGTTTTTTGGGACGAATAAAAAAAGAAAAGATAATTTTTTTGTGGGACGGAGGGAGTATTATTTATTACTTTCCTTATTCTATTCTATGACTTCTAGTGTAAATTCCATCCGGTTCTTGTAGTGTAAATTGACTTGTAATTTTATTTTGATCGAGAAAGAAGAAAGGAAACGATTAAAATAAAAAGTAAAACATTGAGAATATACTAAAATAAGAATTTCATATTTTTATTCCTGAATAAGAGTTAAAATGCATTTATAATGCCAATCATGACCATGTACACTACCAAACAGTATTTTCAGTGTCACATTACCAATGTGCAAACTTCTACTTTGAAAATTAAAACATAAATTACTATTTTAGTACTTTTTCTATATTATACTCATATTTAGGGTACTTTCTTAAGAAATGGAGCATGTCTTAAGTGTGTGCAAGAGTCTAATGCATAATATGATAATTTTTATCGTTGTTGACTGAAGTCGAAACGAGAATTAAGTCTCTTAAAATGAGTAATTAACAAAAAAAATAACATACTCCTTCCGTCCTAAAACTTTCTTCCCAGAGCATTATTCCAACTTCACGAGAATTTTTATTTATTTGTGTTTTTTCATGGCCTATATGATAAAATAAAATATTCTTGTCACTACTTGTTTTGTTGAACTTTTGATGTAGTTTTTAAATATGTATGTTTTATTTTTTATTTCTATACCAATATTTAAATAAAATAGATTGAAAAAAGTTGAGATTTTTCTTCGTTTTGCACAACGGGAAGAAAGTTTTAGGACGGAGGGACTAATAAAGAACAAAAGTAACGGTTTAGAGGAATTTTTTAATGAAAAATAGAGAAGAAACCAATAAAAAGTTACAAAAAAAAAGAATCAATTGATTGACCATTGATAACAGTCTATAGTTTATACCCATGGTTCATTCCCTGCAAGATAGATGCGAAAATCGTTGACTCGTAACTTAACTAGTAACAAAAATCAAAGTCAAAA